AGAGGATGGGGCCAGACTCTTCTCCGTGGTGCCCAGCGACAGGACAAGAGGCAACGGGCACAAGCTGAACCACAGGCAGTTCCATCTGAACCTGAGGAAAAACTTCTTTCCTGGGAGGGTGACAGGGCACTGGCACAGGTTGCCCAGAGAGGTAGTGGAGTCTCCTTCCCTGGAGATATTCAAAACCCGCCTGGACGTGATCCTGTGCAATGTGTTCTAGAGGACCCTGCTTGAGCAGGGGGGTTGGACTCGATGATCTCCAGAGGTCCCTTCCAACCTTGGCCATTCTGTGATTCTGCGTTATCCTGTGTTATTGCTTCATAGTTGCAAAAAGAAAAGTATTTATGAAGTAATTTATATGCTCAAACAGATAAATAAATTACACGTGTTTTTTCACAGTTCTTAAGTATATATTGGCACAGGCATACATCACTGAAAGAATGGCAGGTATCCATTGTCAGAATTGTACAGCTCTTCTTTTTTGACGCATGTTTCTCTTTGTCCAGAATAACCACAAGCGAAGGAAGACTGTCAAAGATGACAAAGGGAAGAAGAGAAACAACAACTCAGCATTTAGTGAGGAAGGTAAAGAAGGTATGATGAAACAAGCCCTGCTGGACCAGGCAATGCTATTATCAGGTATCAGCAGGTTATTAGATACCTTAAACTGCTGGATTTAAGGATTTCTAAGTAAGTAGCAAAGAAACAGCTCTGTTGTCCAAGGGCAAGAACTCCTTGTTTAGTAGCTAGATGCCAAGATAATTTCTGTGGTGGAGTCCCAAGATCATTCCTTGGTTTAGCTGATAAGGGAACTGATTCTGATATCAGCTGTGGTTATTTTACCTATCTCTTTAATTCATTCATTTATTTTTATTCTTTATTTATCTCTTTGTGGGCAAGAGGAGAAAATTGGACCAAATAGGCTAATGCTGAAGACAGTCTTCAAAAAACCTGTTCTACCTACATATATAAGGCTAAGGGAAAGGAGATGAGATTTTTAGGTGTGGTATCATGTTGTTACTGTGCTCCAGCACTCAACTGTTTGTAATAGTTTGCAGATGGTAGTCTCCAGAGGACGGGCAGTAGGGAATTATTTGGCCATTTTGAGTTTAGAATATTCACCTGCACTTTAAACAATAACCAACCTAGATTAACTTAAGCATTAAAGGGATGGTATTTATCAATATTTATTTACATAATGACATATGCAAATATGTGATATGACAGAAAACTGTTTTGAGGTTTTTCCCCTTTGGCATGCAGTGTTGTGGGAAATTCTCTCAACATCTGCTTCTAGTGGTTAATGCCTTCTTCTAGCATTTCCTCCAACAGAGTGCGGTGATGAATCAGGAGCTCACTGTCCTGGGTCTCAGCTCAGATATTGCTCACAACTAAAAGACTTGCCTTTACCTGAAGTTTGTGAGACAGTGGCATGCAGTAGCATGGCAGCTATAATTTTGTAGTGCCAGAGGATGTAACTGTACACAGTTGAAAAGACACTTTTTGGTTGGAAGTTTAAATGTACTTTCCTTTCAGAAAGCTAAGTTCTATCACTTTTTTTTTGTTGTACTATTGTATCTCTTACTGTACATTGCTATTTAGCAAGGTAGGTAGCTGAAATCACATCTCTGTACATTTTCTTTGGGGATGTCTGACGTATGAAAACCATATATGAAGGCAGTTAGCAATACAGTCTCCAAAGTGGGCTTCAAGGCATGCAGGTATCAGAAGCTCAAAGGAGGGAAGTTCCTCTGCTGTGAAAGGTGGGTGGGCAGGCATCCACTGTTACTAAATGAAAGCCTGATCAATGTTGCCATCTGCTGGGGGATTGTCATAATACTTGCCAATTGTGTGCAGCTGAAGAATACTATTTTCAGAGATTTATACTCTCTAGTTTGAATGTACACAGACAACTGTGTACAAGCCAGCAGCATATTGCCACCTAACAAAGAAAAGTCTCCTGCCTGAATTTTTTCTTGCTGCGTTTGAAGAAAAGAGGCTTGCAGAAGTTGGAGAAGAAAATGAAGCTCATAGGCTAAACCTGTTGCTACATCCTCTTTTCCCCAGGAAAAAAAGCATCATTATGGACATTATCTTCAAGCAGTTACTGCTAGTCTGTAACATCTTTATGTTTCTTTGTAAAGAATTCTGTATACAATATTTTTGCTTCTATTCACCAAAACATTCAGAAATCTTGATTTCTGATTTAGCCAAATAGTAGTTACTTCAAAGAAAGTATTATTATTTATCTGCTCCTAGGAAACCCACAACACTGAAGAAAAGGTATGCCCCATCTTCTTTGATGTATTAACTGTTTCTTATAGTAACAAAATACAGATAAATTTCCTGGGTATATCGTACAACAGCATTTCTGTCTGTCTCTTTAAAGGCACTATTAAACAAGTATGTGAAAAGACTGTTCAAAAGGTTTCTATAATTTAAAGCAGTTTCAACTTGCTGTACAACTTGAACTGCTTCAGCTTTCTCTTTCAGAATCTTTGTCTATCCAGGATATATATGTCTATATCTCAATAAAGATGGAAAATATATATGTATTTAACAAAAAATGCACAAATTAGTTCATATGAGACACTTTTTTTTTTCCAGTACCACCTTGAAATGTGTAAGGATCTCTACAGACAAAGAAATGCCACGTATGTGCATTACCGAGACTTGCTGAATAAGAAAGTTCAAAAGCAGCGAATTCAGATTCAAATGTCTGATTGTAGGCTCAAGCAAAATCTTGAACAGCAAAGAAGAAGAAAGGTAAGAAATTGTTTGAGGGACATGAGAATGCTGGGGAGAAGGAGTAACATAGCACGAAGGTTGTAGCCAATATTTATTAATGAGACTGGAGTGTTCATGCGAAGTTCCACATGCTTTCAGTTACTGGAAATCAATGTACTTTTCAAGGTAGGGAATTTTGTTAGAAAGTCAGTTTTTTGCAAGGAGCAAAATGGCCAAAAAGACTAAGAGGTCCTGTTAAGACATGGTTGGAAAGCAGATGTCAGAAAAACTGCCTTTCTGGAGTCGTTAGTAATTAAGCAGAGCTGATGTGGTCAAGCTGTGTGCTTTCTTCACCAGAATAGCGCAGTGACACTTGTATTCCTGAAAGATTTCTTCTGAACTGTGTCACTGTGCATTATGTTTTGAAAGAATTCCATAACAAGACAGTAGTGGAATCATATCTAGTAGCAACTCTTAAAAGGAGAACAAATAAAACAATTTTTTTGCCTTGCCTTCTGATGTCTGAACATTAAGTATTAAAGATTCATTTATATCTCTCAAAATTTATATCTATTCTTACAATGTCTTTGTGTTGCAAGAAAAAAAAGGATGACTTCTTCCTTCCCTCCACTTCAGTGGAGGTGTGAAATTTTTTGAATTAGTGGAAGAAATTTTGCTTTCAGAAATGCTTTACTCATGTCTTCCTTTGAAAGCTTTTGTCCTAGTTTAAAGATTTTGCGGATGCAGTCCTTTCAAACACACGCTTTAGATATTACTACCCGCAATGTACTTTTTTTGGAGTGCAGGAAGGGAAAAAATGGATAGATCAGCACTGAAGGCCAGGATTATTAAGATGCAAATTCAGCATAGATGCATACATGCTTTAGCAATTCATGCATAACAGTAAAGAATAAGCAGATTTAAAAGCACAGTAAATGATTGTGTACAACAAAAAATACCACACAGTAAAAATAAGATAAATGAGATAAAAGGGAAGGAAGGCAGTTTTGTAACAGTAAGTACAATAAGTACCCTTTCCCCCCTCCAAAATAGGTGCAAAGAAGCAAGCGTATAAGATGATAAAACCACTTTTCTAGTTATCACACTGTCATGGAAAATATAACCTACTAAGAGAAAGAAATGCGGGTATGTTCCCTTTTCTTGCTTTAGTATGATAGACAAATACATTCTGAAATATATGTGCAATAAAATAGGATCTTTTAGTAGCAGCCAGATTTAAACTGCTGTGCTTAGAACCCACAGATAACCCAGCAAACTCCAAACAGATTTTATAGCTTGCAATTCACCAAATGCCAATTGTGGAAATCTGCTTCCTGTCTGTCACTCGAGTTGCTAACAGTGGTATCCTTTTATAGACTCTGTTTCCTTAGCAGTTGCTTCTTTTTTCCTCGGGAGAGGAGAAAGCCCTCAAATTTTCACTGTTAGGCATTTCCTATTTGCTGTAAGCACTGGGGAACAATCCTGCATTGAGTGAATTGGCACGATTATTTCAGGAGTCTTCCCATAAAATTTAAAATCCGAGTGGACTTCAAGATTTTTATATAGCTTAGTAGCTTTGGTCAGTCAGTTTGGCTGTATAATAGCCTTTGTTATGTGGTAAGAAGTCTCAAGTTGTATGCATAAAGATTTTCTTTCCTGCAGGTGTTTGTTTAGTATAGATATGAATTTCCCCATGCTATCTGAGGCTTTTATTGCTTAGCTTGTGATTCTGTGTTTAGAAAAGCTCGTTAAGCTGGCTCACTGACAGGAATATAGTTAGTTCTCACAACATTTATAAACTCAGATTCTTTCAGAGCAGTGATCTGAGTAATATTTTAGCCTGCAGGCAGGAACGTCTCTCTTCCTTTCCTCTCTGTCATTTGCTGCTGCTTCTGTCAGCTCTTGGATTTTGCAGTGCGTTACCCTCTTTCCCCTTAGCAAAGGTTTCTCGTTGGTATCCTCGTTTCTTCACACTAGTTATTCCACTTGCAGGGTCTGTGAAGACATGAACGTGTTTGCTTCTGAAATAGATGCCACAAATCAGTCTAGCACTTCTTTCTAATTTTAATGGAGATGAGCTACTAGTTGTAATTTCTTGAATCTCTCAGTTAGGATGTAGGGAGACCATAAATCTTAAAGTAACAAACATTCCCAAATCCCATGCTTTGAAGTGAACAGGAGCTCCTGGGTAATCAGCACTTTTGGGAAACAAGCCGCTTAACTAGGTGTCCGAAGCCATTACACCCATTTTTTTTGAAAACTTTGGCCGCAGTGTTTAAGGAAACCTACAACAAAAAAGTTGGAATGGTGTGAGCAGCAGCTTCTCTGAAAAGCGTCAGACAAAGCGGATGGATACTATAGAGTCCAAACTCAGCACTCCTGCAGCATTTGACCTTGGTTTACTGATGTTGTTAGATTTTGGGTTTTATTGTATTTATGGTTGTTAGATTTGGCTTGGTGGTAGGGATGTTGGGGTTTGTTTATTTTCAATTTTATTATGAGAAAAACAGGAATAATCTAAAACAAGTGTAAGATACTTAAATATTTATTTTTAAGTGTTCTCCATCAGGGCTTTACATTCTGTTTCCTAAATCTTCCCCCTCCTATTCTCACTTGTCTCATGTGGAAGTGGTGTGTCAGGAAGCACATAACTGATCCCACCTTACAGTCAGGATTTGATGATGGGATGGGGTGTTCTAAGCAATTGCTGTCAACCTGTGCTAAAACACAATTCTTTAAAGTGTGTAACATAAGTATGGAGTATGTTGTTATATTCTTATCCTTGCTTCCTCATTTGTGTCTTAATTGTGAAAATTCGTTTCATCTCCATAGATGCCATAGATGAACAGCAAATTTAACAAGTTATGCTGTGCACTTTTACCTGTACTGGAGAGTTTGTCCTGAAGGACTAGTGCAGTTCTCCTGGTAGATAAACTGTGTAAGCAGTATACTGAAACATGGATGAGAAAGTAGACTGACGCCTGATAATTCCTTGGAGGTCAGTTAGGGAGAGAAGGGAAGAAAAGCAAGAGAAGTACCATGCCTATCGTCTGTTAATAGATAATATTGTGGTACCGGTATTGATGTTTTTACCTCAGTATAAAGTCTTCAGCCTTAGTCAGGCGGTTCTTGAAGGCTGACTCTTTTTGCAGCCAGTATGCAGCAACGTGGCTTATGAGATTAGTAACACACATGGTAAGGAACTTGCTTTTTGATGTGATACCTGTGCTCTGGCCCCTAACACTTTGTAAAATCATGATGGGGAGGTACTTATATTTCATGTTAGGTGATTGTTCTGTCTCTCTTCCTGCACTGAGTCTTGTGTGGGTCCACAGGCATCAGAGCACTATGGAGAAGTAGTATGAACTGAAGCTACCTTAGTAGAGGATGCAAGGGGCATTCCCTGTGCTAGGAATTATAGTATTTCACTATTGCTTGTGAATTTACACCATTATTTGTGTGTCAGGTCCTTTGCAGGTTGGACTGGAAAGACCAGCAATCTGAGTCCCCCCGCCTTGTAACCACATGATCTGGACCTTCACTAGGTGGTGATGGTGGTTGAGTTTTGAGGTGGTGATGGGTCCCTTGGGGTTGTATTCTGGCAGCCTGCAAGGCTGGTGGCTCTGCTGTGTGTGTGCTTCTCTTGATGTAAGAGGACATTTGGGAACAAATCATCCTTATTCTGAAGGCAGTGTTATTGCTTGAGTGCCAGCCATGTGGAATTTGTGGGCTCCAGGATTATCTTGGCTTTTTTCATTTGTTTTTTTCTGTGATATTCTTATTCTTTTCTGTGATATTCTGTGGTAGTCTATTTCTGCGATATTATTCTTTTTCTATGATAGTCTATTCTTATTCTTTCTGTGATACTCTTGCAGTTCTTTGCAGCATTGTATGCAACGATGTGATGAAGTTCGGTATTTCTTTCATGCTATGTTTTGTTGACTAGGAGGGTTTTAATCATGTAATTGCATGAATTCCACAAGATCATGACTAATATTCTCTTTTTTTCTTCCCCTCCCCTCCTCATCCTTGGTTTCTTTGAATGTAATTAATTATGGTAGAACATGGTGTAAGATGATTCCAGGGAGGAAGTAAATGCAAGCATCCAACATTTTTAGATACAAATTCCTAATTCCATAATATTCTTACTTTAGCGTATTAGGAAAATTTAAGTTCAAAATATCTACCTTGAATATTATGGCAAATAAAGAAATAAACTAAGTATTTCAGTAAACTACACTCATTTCAATTGTAAGTGCTTCCAGACAGATATCATCATCTCAAACACATCAACAAGCCTTTATTTTTAAGTCTATAGGCATCATACTTTTTTAAAAATAAATTTCAAAACAAAGGAAATGCTGAAGTGACTTGTCATAAGACTGAATACAACTAATCAGCCCAAGGGTACCAATAAATACATAAATGAAAACAGATACATGATGTATACTCTTTAAAATAATAAAAAGGTCAACAGAGCATTTGCAGCCAGAATTACGGAATGCCTTTCTAGTGGAAATATTTGATTGTGCATCCACTATAGAACTGAGTGATCATTCTTGCCTCGGTTCAGGGAAGAAAAGTATCCCTGCTCAGGGTAGTCTTTGATACTTACAGACTTCAAGTTAAGCAAGCGTTTTAAATGCTACTTAGAATGCGACCTCTTATGTAGCACACTCCTAATTCAGACTCTGGGTTTTACTTTTCTTGTGCTTTTTGGTCTTACAATCTGCTTGCATCACCAAGAAAGCAGTATCAGAAGTACACAACCTAGAAACTGAGGTTATTTATACTGAAGCTGTGAATTTCCATTTCCAATTTACTGTTCTAATAATTTCATGGCTTTCATTTCGAGACTATGAAGACCATCAACGTGTCTCATCTTTCCCATGCTTTGGCCTTCCCTCCCAGTGTACAAGATGTTTATTGCTATTAGTGTCTTGAAACAACGCTGCTTCTGAGAGAGGGGGGAGTTGAAAAATTAAAGGAATGGCAGTCAGCATGGGACAAGATAGGTGAAGTGCATCAGCTCTCACAGA